CGATTCATTTTATTATATTTGTTACTGTGATTCGTATGAATATCAGGTCGTATTAAACTCTGTGAGGTTATATTTATCGATCGGTCATTTATCGAGCGGCTATTGTACTTCTAAGTAATTGTTACAAAATATTAAAGACAATACAATAAAATTAGCATACAGAATTATCGAAATTTGTTACTGTGATTCGTATGAATATTAGGTTTTAGTAAACTTTGTTAGGATATATTTATCGATCGGTCATTTATCGAGCGGCTATTGTACTTCTAAGTAGTTTTTACAAAATATCAGAGACAATACAATGAAATTAGCATACAGAATGATCGAAATTTGTTACTGTGATTCGTATGAATATTAGGTTTAGGAAACTTTGTTAGAATATATTTATCGATCGGTCATTTATCGAGCGGCTATTGTACTTCTAAGTAATTGTTACAAAATATTAAAGACAATACAATGAAATTTGCATACAGAAATTATCGAAGTTTGTTACTGTGATTCCTATGAATATTAGGTTTTCGTAAACTTTGTTAGGATATATTTATCGATCGGTCATTTATCGAGCGGAAATTGTACTTCTAAGTAATTTTTACAAAATATCAGAGACAATACAATGAAATTGGCATACAGAATTATCGAAATTTGTTACTGTGATTCGTATGAATATTAGGTTTTAGTAAACTTTGTTAGGTTATATTTATCGATCGGTCATTTATCGAGCGGCAATTGTACTTTTAAGTAATTACAAAATATCAAAGACTAATAATACAATAAAATTAACATATAGACGAAGAATATTTCTACATTTAACATTTAATTTCTCCACTATAATCATTACATCTAACATTTAATTTTTATTACGATTACTACCAGTAAGCGGCTACTTATCAAGCGGTTATTTACCAAGTAAGTTTAAACAGTTACAAAACACTAAACACAGTGAATTAATAAATTAAACTATATTAATTTATAAATTGTTATAATACTTCCAATCAAAAATATAAAATATCTACATCTCTTCATGTTTTACCCAAAACTATTTAATAAACCACATTCGCGAATCACCGATACCTAATTACTGCTATCAATATCCAAAAAATTCGCTCCAGAACTTTATTAAAATCGATTATCCCGTAAAATGGCGTTCGAAGCGGGGGAATAAAGTTATCTGTTTCCAATTAGATGTTTTCAATAATATCGACTTTCGCTTCGGGCTAACTCCGATGGCGGTTTATATTAACAAATGAAGTTTCGGCATCCATCGTGCTAAACACGTTCAAACTCGAACGCGCAAAAATCATGGTACCTTAAAGGGCAACAAATCGCGCAACGAGCAATAAACGCGTTCATATTTCTTCGAGATTCATTTTGATATCGCGCTGGCAACGAAGAAACGAAAGCAGTGTATGGTGTTTTTTTCTCTGTCCGTATTTCTGTTTGTTTTTGACGAATGTCGAGCTGGAAACAAAAGGCCGGCAGAAAGGGGAAAAATGCCAGAGTGGCCGTGCAATCTGCGTACACAGCGTTCGTGAAACCATCACTTTAATTATTTCGGCTCTCCTTTTTTTTTGCACGTCACGTTTCGGTTGTTCCGCGATCCGCTCGTCACGGGCAGTACACGCTCTTTGCTGGAAATACGCGCGACAATTTTATGCGATTTGAATATTCTACCGATCACTGCTTTCGTTAATTCGTGAATTCTTTATGGACGGGTGTCTTCTTGTCGCGAGTACTGAAATGGAATGCAATTTGACAGATTTGGGTTAAGAGTATTAAGTACACTTTTTAATATACTTTGTATTAAGGTACGAAGAGCATAATATTCTGGGACGGTGTTTCATAATTTTTAATTGCGTTAAGCATTTTTAATAATCTTTGTGAAATGCGAAAAGTCATATACATGAAATGATCAACGCTATATTATGTCCTATGTCTCTGAATACTGATATGTATGAACATATATGGACATGTTGAATGTTCTAAATGTTGATATTCTTATATCCTATGTCTCTAGATAATAATATCCCTACGTTACATACTTGTAGACACTGATATTCCTATGTCTTATGTCTTAGAACACATATTTCCATGTATCATATCATCAAATGTTGATACTCCCCTGTCCTCTGTCACTAGATACTGATATTCCTATGTCCAATGTCTTTAAACACCGATAATCCCATATTCCATATCTCGGAATGTCGATATCTCTATATCCAGTGTCTCTAAATATTGATATTCCGTTGTTCCATAATGCTGATGTTGTCCCATGCCTCCAGATATTGATACTCCTATATTCCATGCTTCTAAGCGTTGATATTCCTACACCCTATATTCTAATACGCTAATAATCCTATGTCCTATATCTCTAAATACTGATACTCCTATAACCACGTTCGTAAGTACTGTTATCCCCATGTCCTAAGTCTCAAAAGACTGATATTCCTGTGGCACGTGTCTGTAAGTGTTGATATTCCTACCCCTATGTCATTAAATGCTGACATTCCTTTCTCTTATGTCCTTAGATGCTGACATTCCTATCCCCTGTGCCATTGGATGTTGACATTTCTATCCCATATGTCATTGGATGCTGACATTCCTACTTCCTGTGTCATTAGATGCTGACATTCCTATCCCCTATGTCATTAGATGCTGACATTCCTACTTCCTGTGTCATTAGATGCTGACATTCCTATCTCCTACGTCATTGGATGCTGACATTCCTCTGTCATACACTCTTAGATACTGATATTCTTATGTCCTATATGCTGAAACACCGATATTCCTAAGTCCCATGTACTCAGGTGCTGATATTCCTCTGCCCTATGTCCTAGACACTAATACTTCCACATCCCACGTCTTTAGATGCTGACATTCATCTATCATACACCTCTAGGCACTGATATGCTTATGTCCTATGTGCTGAGACACTGACATTCTTATATCCCATGCACCTAGATGCTGATATTCCACTGTTATATGTCTTTAGACCAAGATACTCTTGTGCTTCCTGCACCTAAATGCTGATATTCCTCTGCAGTATGACGTTACATATTGATATGCCTATGTCATATGTTTTGAGACACTGACATTCCTTTGTCCCTCATACCCAGATACTGATATTCCTTTGTCCTATGTCTCTAAGTCACTGATACCCCTATGTCCCACAACTGTAGATGCTGACATTCCTCTATCGTGTGGTCCTAGATGCTGACATTCCTCTATCATGTGGTCCTAGATGCTGACATTCCTCTATCATGTGGTCCTAGATGCTGACATTCCTCTATTGTGTGGTCCTAAATGCTGACATTCCTCTATCTTACACAACCTCAGATGCTTCTATGTCCACGTCCCATGTTCCTAGATTTATCTATCCCTGTATCCCACGTCCCCAGATGCTGCTGCCCATGTGTCCCATGTCCCTAGATGCTATCATTCATGCGTCCCATGTCTCTAAGTACTTCTATTCCTATGTCCCATGACCCTAGATGTTGTTACCCATGTGTCCCATGTTCCTAGATGCTGCTACCCATGTGTTCCATGTCTCTAAATGCTTCTATGCCTATATCCCACGTCACTAAATGCTCCTGTTCCAGTGTCCCACATCCCTACATCCTCCCATCCTTCTATCCCATATTCTCAGATGCTTCTATCCCCTCACCCCACGTCTCCAGATGCTACTATCCCTGTGTCCATGTTCCTAGATGCTGCTGTGTCTGTGTCCCATGTCCCTAGACGCTTGGGTGCATGTGTCCCATGTCTCTAAATGCTTCCATTCCTATGTCCCATGTCCCCATATACTGCTATCCCTGTGTCCCATCTCCCTTATATACTACTACCCATACGTCCCATATCCCTAGATGCTTCTACACCTATATCCCACGTCACTAACTGCTTCTGTCCCAGTGTCCCACATCCCTACATCCTCCTATCCTTCCATCTTTCCATCCCATATCCTCAGACGCTTCCTCCCTCGATAGCTGTACCTTTGTATCCCACGTCCCTAGGTGCTACTATCCCTGTGTCCTATGTTCCTAACTGCTTCTGTCCCAGTGTCCCACGTCCCTAGGTGCTATTATCCCTGTGTCCTATGTTC